TTACTATCAAAAAGCACATCCTGAGACAGATTTAATTCTAGTAACAATTGCAGTTACAATATATTAGCTAGTTTCCTTTCATTTGAAGCCGCTGCATGTGAATATAATATCTCTATTAGTAATAAAGATGCAGTTATTGCCAAATGTTGTTACTGTAATTTAACTTTTCCTTGCCCTTATGATAACTTTTTTCTCTTTACAGTATTTTGATAGTCTGTATGGCGTGTTGCCAAAAGATTTGCCTTATTATGGTGGATCGGTTGAAATTGCTGACTACTGCCCTTTTAGTCAAGAATTTAGTTGGCACCTAAGCGGTGAATTTCAGCGCAGTTCAGATTGTCGGATACTGGAAAACCAACCAGGTCAGTTGGTTTTATACTTGATTCCATATCAATGGAATACTTTTATACTTGATTCCATATCATATCCAGTAGCTTAAGCTTGACTCAAATTTAACACAATATGCTAGGTGATCCCAGGTCACTCCGAAGAAGCCTTAGAGCTATGAGACAGCAAGAACTTCAAATATATATGCTATTTGAATTGTAACAGTCGTGTTTTATGGTCAATGAATGGTGCGAACGAGACTATTTTTTGTGGGAAACAGCTATGCTGAAATTTCATGGTGGCTAAAAGGACAGCTGGTCCCAAAAAGCACAGAATGCATTATGCTGTGTTACGGGTTTTCTCTGTTTTGTATATACCCCAATTCATATATGCATACTGATTAAACAGCTAGTCTATCCTCAGGTCTAAAGTTATATCACATTCTCTCATCATAACTGAGCTTCTGTCAAACCCTTTTGGCACCACTGATGGCATAAATTGAAAATAGTATTTGTCTGATACCAATCTGTGTTATTTAAAATTCTTTTTATATAAAGGTGCGGCAGAAAACAATATGTCCTCTTGATGCCTTCTAAACAGTTGAAGTTGAATAAATGCATTTATATCTTGAATGCTTATACATTGCTTGCTCATTTACTAAAACTTGTTTTATCAATTAGTGCAAGCATCACAGAGAACATGACAATGGCTGTCGATCATCATTACATAGAAATGCCTGCCCGTGCTGAACATATGGCTCACCGTGGAAATATATTTCTTTTAATAACTGTACAATGCTATTGATTTTAAATTTGCTACATACCAGTCTTAAATCATGTGTGCTTTCTTCAAAATGTCACATTTTTCTGAGTTGCCTGCCTAGTGGACAGGACAGACATATACACTGAATAAATGATAAAGTTGGTGAACAAGTTAGGAAAATAATTTACTGCCAGCTCTGCTTATGATGTAAATGTCCTAATAATATCTGATAATTTTGTTGTCTCTATAATCTGGTAGATCTTAGCAGAAAACTGCATTTTTTTTTTGTAGATCCTTTCAGAAACTATGGTGCAGAGAAATATGGGCCAAATTCCATTTGCCTCATTCAAAAGTCAGCTTTCATTATGGAACAGTGCAGAAAGAAACTGAGTTATCCTGATTGGGGTAGTGGGTGTTATCAGGTAACTGCAACACAATTTAATTTTGCATTTTGTACTGCTCTGTTATATTAAAATAATTAGATTACTAATTTAATTATTTGTTGCACGTTTTCTATACCGAGGCAAGTGTTACATGACTAGACTTTTCTAAGAATGCTGAAGGAAAAAACTACACAATTATCAATTTACTGATTAAGTAATTTGTAAAAGGTTCACCATTGTTCTTAGGAGTAATTGTTTGGAAAGTACGAATACAGTTTGCATTTTTTCTTTATGCAATGAGATTGGAAACAGAGTACATCATGAAAGGTTAAAAAAAAAAGCTGCTGTAATGAAATAGCTTCTCTGTGCAATCTACTTTGTAAACTTATCATATTTGGTTTTATTCCGAAGGTTTCTTGCTCTCCCCATGGACTGACTGTTTGGGTCAAGGACATGGCATATTTGTGTAGTCACTCAGGTCAAATTCTCACAGTGAATATTCAGATGAATGGATGGCTACATATGGGGAATCTAATTTGCCCAGCGTGCTTGGATTTCTGCAATTTCTGTCCACCTGAACAAGATCCCCCTCCAGTTGCTAATTTAACAAGAGTTGTACCTATTGGTAAGTAATTGCTCCATTTAATTATACTTGTTTCTGATTTTTAACAGAAATAATGACATAAGCTTCAATCACTTAGGCCAGTGGTGGCGAACCTATGGCACGGGTGCCAGAGGCGGCACGCAGAGCCACTCTCTGTGGGCACACATGCCGTCGCCCCAGTCTAGGCCTTCAGCTGGGTTTTATAAAACCTTTTCGCTTTAGGCCTCCGCCGCCATGTACAAAAAAAAAAGGTCCAATCAATCAGTCAATTTCAACTTCTCGCGGGGAAAAAAAGATCTTGCAAAGTTGGAATTGATGAACTTTTTAGTCCTACACAGTCTGCTGTTACCACCACAGCCACGCCCACCCAATGGGCCACACCCACCCAATGGGCCACACCCACCTGGCACTCGACGATGCATAAGTGGGTTTTGGGTTGCAGTTTGGGCACTCGGTCTCTAAAAGGTTCGCCATCACTGACTTAGGCAGAGAATAAGAACGATTGTGGCTATTCTTCATTGCTCTAAATATTTCTGACACATTCACACAAACAATCGGTTATGATTTTTTCAGTCTTTCATTTGATAAATTAATTCCTCAATTCCTGAAGCATCTCAGTTTCCGACTCTTTTTGAGGGGTGGGAGATAGGAAATATTTTAAATGCTCTTCAGAGTACATGAAGAGCATCTGTACAATTACTATTTATCTTGTCTTTGTACTATTTTCTTCTATTTCAGATCTGTGTTCCTGTTCTCCCAGCCTGGTAATAACTCTATGGCTACTGATGGTGAATTTGTTTCCATTACTAGCTGGATTTCTTCTGTGTGCATGGAGTTAAAATGTGCATATTTTGTCAAAGGTTTGTCAAAGGTCCCCTACAGCTAATCCCATCTTGAAGGAGCTGTCCAGAAGGGCAGTCTACATTTTGCAAGGAGTCCAACTAGGAAAGTCTGACTAAAGTTTCTAGAAAGATACAGACAATATTTAGAAGGTTATCTCAATGAAGAGCTAGTGTTGATCGAAATGTCTAATTTTCACATTGATAACAAATTTGGAGGAACAAATTTGCCAGTGTAGTTTAATGCCTTCGGTTGACACTCTTCTGGGTGAACTTTTTATTATGTGCAATTCTCTATGATATAATTTTGTAGTTGGGTTCTTGTTTTGGCATCTTTTGACAGAGATATACCTCAGTTTCCTTTAGTCAAAAGCCATAAAAATCAGTTGCCATTACTGTTAATAACAACTCAGCATTAAGTGTAGAATTCAAAACTAAGAGCGTCTTGGCTTTGGTGTTAAGATGCTTCCAGAGTTACTCGGTAGACTCTGGTGATTCCAAGTTATTTCTTCTATGAAGCTTTTGCTGCTCAAAATATGAAAGAGCTTTTCAACAGCTGCACAATATGCACTTTTAGAATATTTGAATGAAAATATTTTATATCTCCATTTTAACAGTAAGCAAAACTATTCTTCAATGGCTTTTTTCTTCAAAGGCTAGAAACAAAGTATGCTTGCTGGGATGTAAGCTTCCTTGAACTCAGTTGAACCTACAGTACAGTATTTCTGAGTAACTAAATTTGGTTGGGCTACATACTTTGTTTCTTACCAGGTAATTTGAGCAATTTAATTGTTTTCATAGCTATTTCCCTTGTGTTATGAAACATGCAAAGATTGGTAATCTATACCTACCCCATCCCAGTTGACTTAAAAAAGATTGAAGTGATGACACATTTCACCAGTAAATTGTAGCGCATAATACTTAGGGAAAAGGTGATAACAATGGGAAAATGTTAGAGATAATATATAGATTCCTTTGTAGTAAAAAATACAATTTTATTACCAAGCGACCCCATTTGGCTGTTGGATGAAAGAACAGTTAACCTTAAATTTATGTTAGGGAATACAAGGGCTTAAATATACTGTGGAGTTCTTGGTGCTCTGTAAACTTGGTTGTTCGCTCACAGACATTTCATAACCTGATTAGATAACATCATCAGTGCTAGAGAGTATGAGGTTTTCTCCCTGACTATAAGCACTATCTTGCCTTACAAGGGTTTGTGGGGGTGTGGTTTTCTCCTTGGTAGTTCCTTGATTAGGGTATTTATTGTTTGTCTGGTATTAATTCCTGCTTATAATGCGGGTGTATTATAAGCAGGAAAGGATGTGGTTGGTTATTGGAAAGGATGTGGTCGGGGTGTGTGTGTGTTTCCTTTTTAGCTTTTTTATTGTCTCTTGAATGTGTATAAATGTAAATGGCTTTGAATGCCAAGCATCCAGGAAATGCCAAGCATCCAAGATTGGTCTGGGATGCTCACAGTTTCCCAGTTGAAACCACGGTTGAGTTTGCTCATGTTTTGTGAGATTAAGGAGTGTTCATCATGTCTTCTTCTGATTGCTAGTTGGTGTTTGTGGATGTGCTCTACTAGTTTTCTACCTGTCTGTCCTATATAGTGGCTGTTAACCATTCTTACACATACATTGTGTATAAACAAAGCAAACTCTACACTCACTAGCACAGATGATAGTACTTAATCAGGTAATGAAACAACTGCAAAGAAACAACCAAGCATGGAGAGCACCAAGGACTTCACAATTCAACCCTGACTACATATATTCTCTTCTATTGGAACTTAAATATACTTTTTAGAGGGCACAGATTAATTACCGTGTCACAGAAAACTGCACATTATATAAAAAAATTAGTGTATAACTTTTATATTCCAGTTTCTTGGAGAATGAAAAATGTTCAAGGACCTAGTTGTGGTATTTATTTATTTTTCCAGATTGGGGAGCAAAGGCTATGTAGTCATAATGTTGTTTCATATCCACTGAAAGCTGTGACTAATAGAGATGGTGACTAGGAATTGTTCCTAAAGCTTGTGGTGAAATGTTCCAGTAGAAGCAAGCTAGACCATGGGACTAGATGAGAATCTTAGATAGAACCCATCCTAAGAAGTCTTCTATCAAAGCAGAGTATAGTTGCTCCTAAAGGAAAAATCTATAATAGTGCCTGTTGGATAACATTTTTTTCTACAGTAGTCCTTATTTTTAGAAAGAAAATGGTGAAAATTAAGTAGCTTCTCTCCAGAACAGAGGTTCCCAATCCCTGGGCTGTGGCCCGTTAATGGGACGCAGCCCATTCAGAACCGGGCTGTACGAGGGGTGGGCGAGTGTACGCATGCAGCTCCACTTGCACAAGCGGCAGCCGCTCATGTGTGAACCTCCATTTGCAGGAATGGCAGGCACATGTGCCTGCTGCTTGCACAAATGGAGCTGCGTGTGCCCCTACCGCTCACACAAACCATTCCCTCTCCCTCTCACCCCAGCTGGGCTGCCAAGCCGGAAAGGGTGGGGACCTCTGGTCCACAACAAGCAAAGGCTGACTGAAGAATGTGTGACAGAATTTGCTTATACTACACACCCTGGATTAGCCTTAAATAAAGGGAAAGGAGGGTGGGATGGAAGTCCTGAGCATAGCAATAAAATATTAGGATTGAGAAATGTGTATACTTTGAATGAGGAATAGGAGTTCATTTTCTAATCTAAATGGTTACACAGCTCAAATTTTAGTGTGAAACAGGTCTATAAAAATAAGGAAGAGAAACTATTTTTATATGTGCAATGTAAAAAAATGAGCGTCTTGAAAGGATGCTTTAAATACTTGAACCTTTTTTCCCTGTCTGTCTTGAAGTAAAACAATTGCACTGCATTCATTTTTTGGTTTTGTAAGTATTTATATCTATGTTGATGTAATGTTGCTATAAAAATAATGCCATGGCATTCTTGACTGAGAAATGATTAATTTGTTGCTGGATTCTAGTTGATTCTTTTGAGAAATGGCTAGGAAGAAAATATGTGAGAGCACACAACATTTAAAGAGATTTTGACTGTTTTACTGTTATATATAAACATGGGTATATCAATACAATTTATGATACAGACATGTGATTGTTTTAATCTGAGATTCTTTGTATGAACAAGAACATGGTAGCAGTTAATGATCCAATCCCAAACTTAAACCACTTTCCTGCGTTAGAAATATTCCAGCAAACAACAAACCTGTTACAAGTAGTCCTCAATTTATGACCACAATTGGGACTGAAATTTCCATCTTAAGTCGGGGAAGTCATGTGACTGGATCTAATTTTGTGATCATTTTTACCATAGGCATTAAGCAAATCATCATTAAGTGAATGTGGCTTTTCCAATGGATGCATTTTTGCTGGAAACCAGCAAAAAAAAAGTTACACGCTGCAATCATGCGACCACAAGATACTGCAAACAGTCATAAATGTGAGCTGGTTTTCCAGCACCCAAATTGCAATGATGTGACTGCAGGGATAGTGTGACGGTCGTAAGGGCAAATAAAAGTTATAAAGCACTTTTTCCCTGGCTGATGTAAACTTGAACTATCTTTAACGAACAGTTTCAGGCAGCTTAGATTTTTAAAACGAATAATTGCACTGAATATTTGATTATTTGAAGTTCTTAGGAGTTAAAGACCCTGAGCTTGTCAGCTGGAAAGCTGGCAGCCCAGGTTTGAGACCCGAGCGCCACATGATAGGGTGAGTTCTGGTTACTTGACGCAGCTCCTTGCCACCTAACAGTTTGAAAGCACGCAAATGGGAGTAGATAAATAGGTACCACTTTGGTGGGAAGATAACAGCGTTCCATGTGCCTTGGTGTATAGTCATGGTAGTCACATGACCACAGAGGCATCTTCAGACAATGCTGCCCCCCCTCGGCTAAGAAACAGGAATAAGCAACCCCCCCTAGAGTCGGACATGACTGGACATGGGAAACTTTTACCTTTACCTTTTTAGAGCAAAGGTAACAAATAAAAAAAACTATAATCTAATTTTGAAAAGCAAACTCTAATTCAGTGATGATTTCAAAACAGAAATAATCCATTGGTGGATGTAAGTGAAAAAGAATTTGGCATATAGTGATTATAGAGCAGTGGTGGTGAACCTATGGCACGGGTGCCAGAGGCGGCACTCAGAGCCCTCTCTGTGGGCACGTGCGCCGTCACCCCAATCCTAGGCCTTCAGCTGGGTTTTATAAAACCTTTTCACTTTAGGCTTCCGCTGCCGTGTGCAAAAAAAAAAAAAGGTTCAATCAGTCAATTTCAACTTCTCGTGGGAAAAAAAAAGATCTTGCAAAGTTGGGATTGATTGAATTTTTTATTCCCACCCAGTCTGCCATTACCACCGCAGCCACGCCCACCCAATGGGCCACGCCCACCCGGCACTCGACGATGCATAAGTGGGTTTTGGGTTGCAGTTTGGGCACTTAGTCTCTAAAAGGTTCGCCATCACTGTTATAGAGGAATCGACTAGGTCACTATAAAGCTTTGTGAATGAGTTTGGGCCATACATATCTCTTACCTTAAACAACCCCACAGAGCTTTTTTGAGAATAAAATGGAAAATATTGTAATTAGAATTAGGTATGCCATATTGGACTTCAAGAATAAAAAATGGCATAGAAATGTAATAAGGCTATAAATTGTGTGTGAATTCCCATTTATAAATCACTTTAAATGATAGAATTATTACAGTTAAAAATTATGGTAATATACCTCTTCCCTGGTTATACATTGTAATCTCTAGAATGGTACTTAATATACACCATTCTTAATTCCCAGAACTTTGGACTCAATTGAACAAACTTAAATTTAACCTTAATTCAGTATTTCATGCTATTGTAATTATGTGTTTGGAAAAACAAAGAAGTGATTCACCAATTCAGAAATGTTGCTTTTTACATGATGAAACCCATGTCTACCCAAATAAAGTATAACATTATTGAGATTCTTTATTTTCCCTGAATTTCTGGAGAATGCTGTGTGTCAGATCACTGTGTACGTGTGTGTAGTTTGATGCTCTGAAATACAAATGTTAATTTTTACATGTGTAATTCTCATTTCTCAAACTGAAACTCGTTTCAGATTATTGAAATTAATATTTGCTACAAGATGTAAATCAGAATTATTTTCTATTTATTTGTGAGTTGATTTAAGAGCTGGTTAATTATTTGATGCTCAAAATATTTTCATTGTGTATGTTAAATATATGGAAAGTTCTTTTAGTGTACTGTATATCATGGGAACATTGTGTCAATTAAAGAAACTTATTTCTAAAAAGTGTTAATGTTTTCTCTTAAATGAAGCACACATTTACGTATGTACTTGTTTATAAACTGAGACAAATATGGAAGATGCTTACGGCTGCTTTCAAAAAATACTGTAGAATGATGAATGACATTATTTTAAAAAATACTGCTATCAAATTATATAATCCAGAATAATATTTTAAATAACCTCAATGGAATTTAGCCTAATTAAAAATGCTGTAAGCCGTGTAATCTCTTAGCATGATGTATCCATTTTCCTTTGCAGATTTATATTTTTCAACAGAATTTGGCAGAGTCTTTTGGGGTTATACAGTTATATTAATGTGGAAAAGTCAAAGCACTGTGTATGAAAGAAAAAAAATGAGGTAAGGTAGTGGACAAAGAGAAAATTGAAGAAAAAAGGCATGATATAACTACTGAATGTTTAAGATGGACAGAGGAAAGGGGATGAATTTTAATAAGGCTGGAGCTAGAAAGAGCAGAACAAACTAGTCCGTGGCTGGAAATTTTGGAATATAAAGTAAAAGGAACAGGAAATAGTACACCTTGTCTTGTCACCTTTGCACCCCACTTATCGCCAAATCCAGTTGAAATTACCCAGAGATCTCAGAATTACTGCTCCTTAAGACACAGGTTACTCAAAAGGCATACAGAGTAATTTCCCTTAAGACCACAATGAAGTTAACACCAGGGGCTTTTTTGCTTGTTTGCATGTTGCTTGCTTGCTTTAATTCTCCATTATCAAGTTGACAGAAACCTTGCTTGCTTGCTTGCTTGCTTTATTCTCCATGTCAGGCTGACAAATCTTGACAGACTATACTGGTAGGTTGCAGTATGGGATCTTACATGTGTTCCGGATGCTTTTGCAGGCAAGCGATGAACTCTTTGACTGACTTTCCTTGGTAGCAGATTAGGTAGATATTTACGAATAGTGGAAACCTAGGAGAAATGCAGTTGAAGTAAATCTTCAATCAGTATGTTGTTTTGTACCCTGTATAATCATTGATGTGTACACAAGGATCTGTTTCACTAAGGTAATTTTAACTCGCAATCTTCTTTTAACTAGCATGTTGTTACACTTATTTTTGTAGAACAGCCTTCTCCAAATTTGTGGTCTCTAGTTACTCTCTGAGCTATATAACTCTCATAATCCAACTTATCTGCAGGCCACCGGGCACCTGGGTCATTTATCTGTGTCCAGTACACTCTTAAATAAGCGTAGCATAAGTACAATAAATTTCCGGCTTGCTTAACACATAAATCTGATGAGGACCTTTGAACATCAACAAAAAAAGAAGATAAAAATGCTTCTTTGTAAAGCAACAGGAACACAAAGAGAAGCATTATGAGGAAAACAGTAAAATGTTTTTTGCTAGCCTAAATGTACAAGACCAAGATCAGCTGCTGAGATTAGCTTTGATGCCCTTAGCATTCAGATTTTTTTAATACCCTGGAAGTGGCTGTAATAAAAATTATTTTCTTGATCTTAAAACTGATAGTGGAGCTGGTTGCACAATGAAAACACTAGAGAAGATTGAAATTATAATTGAGGCATTATTAAAGAGCATCCCATTTACTATCCATCACTGAATAGCGAAGCCAGATAGGTTTTTCTCTCAACCTGCTATAATAGAATATGACAGATTTAACTATTGGATTTCTATTATTACTTAGCTCTTAAGCATACAGAATCGTTGCTGTAGATTGCACCTAGGCAGTCCTCCCATTAGACATTATGAAGCTACCACTTCAATCGTAATGATTGAGAACCCCATCATTGTCTGGTGATTTGGAACAGCTGCTTAATTACCCCTAAAACAGTATTTCTCAATCTTGGCAACTTTAAAATTGTCTGGACTTTTGACTCCAAGAATTCTCCTGCCAGAATTCTGGGAATTGAAGTCCAGGCGTCTTAAAGTTGCCAAGATTGAGAAACACTGCCCTAAAGTTGTATAGTGTCACCTGACTGTCTAAGAGGAAATCCTTATAATCAAAACACTGGGAGCTGCCATAGATGGCTGGATAGGTATTGGTTGCAAGCATGGGGGGAAAAAATCTATAGAAGGAAGCAGTCAATCCCTATTTCCCAAGTTATCTATCTAACAATCTAGTTCCAACTAGATTGTTTAGATAGATAATTTGGGAAATTTGTTTGATCTTGCGATTCGGACATCTGATATTTCATGAATAGATGATAGCAATTTGGTTAGAATTGAAGGGCACAAGTTGTATAAGTTAGAAACTTCTTTCATAAGTTTAGTTTACAAATTGCTATAATCAACTGAAAATGTTCACTTAAATGTCCTTCACAATGAATGGCCATCTAAAAAGACTGAAGTCTTTTGTGGACAAACTTGAATTATCAATTTACCCACAGTAGATCATGATATAATCACATGGAAACGAAAACCAAATTAAAACATTTAGAGATGGTCCAACTTTTGAAAGTAATTGTTTTATACCACAAGTATGGAATTAAGTATCGGAATACAATTTCCCACTACTTAAAAAAGAATGAAAAATTAGAATGGTGAGAAAAAGTCCTCTTTGTGAGTATCTTTGGATTTTTTTTTTTTACCTACATGTACAAATATGATCACTGGGTGTATAAATAATTGGACCTTCTACAACCAAATAGCTTTACCAATAAGGGTAATAGCAAAAAATGAATTTTATTAGCTTTGAGTTGTGTCATTTCACTTGAAATTTTAGATTAATAAATAATAATAATCATGCCAAAAATAAGGACTAGCATAATTGGGTTGCAAAAATTCTGACTGCTAGAGAGCAGCAAAGAGAGAGAGGGGGGGGCAGATCTGATTCTCCACTATTATCTAGTGAAAATATTGCAGCCAACAAAAATAACAAAACCTCCAGGATTATAGTTGAAATGTTCTGAATGGCTCATGGCTGCTTACAGATGTATTTAGTATCTAAAACAAACTACTTACTTGTCAACCATATTCTTCTGCTTCAGGATCTTATAGACTTCAGCCGATGTTTGAGGTCCTTGTAGCTTCTGCCCATTCAGCATTTCTTTTTCCAACTGTTCAATTGTCTAAAATAAGCAAAGTAGGAATTGCTCGTTTTAGAATGAAAAGAAATGGCATTAAATTCTATATAAACTGATGAACAAATCTGAATGTCTTAAAACTCTAGCAATGAAATGGCACCCTTGTCAGGCTTTTGAACTTTCCAATATAAACTAAATAAGCAGGATTTTGGAGCAATTTCTAAACTTACTTGAGCTTAATGGTCACCTTTTTTTAAAAAAATATATGAAATTATTATTATAATGATATAATTTAGAGCTAAGCTACATGTGACGCTAAACTTGCATTCACACCTTAACCACTGAATAAACCAATTGGCTGGGTACACAAAATTAATTCACCCTCAGAGACCTACTGTATCTTCTAACATTACTCAGTCTTCATTGAAAACAACATAAAGCCCATCTTCATTTTTGAAATACGGATTCAATGATAATTGGATGCCTCTAGGAGACGCTGTAAGTGAATAGTGGGGAATCTGCTTAGGAGGTGATGCATTCTCCCTGTGTTTGCAATGTGGGAAAGCAGGCTAAATTCAAACTTATAAAGATGAGGGTTTCTTTTTTCAATTATAAGGGCTGACTTTTAAGAAATCACACAACTTTGGAGGCTGATGAAAATCCTAATTTTCTAGGGAAGGGGTCAAGCATATTTCTCCTGCACTGCGCTTCAGGGAACGTATGTGTCTCTTTTTCAGGGACGGTTGGATAGGTGTTCCATTTATATTTCTGCAAATGTAATGTTCTGGCTAGGGGGAACTGAAACAGCAAAGAACAGAAGAGGAAATCAGATCCACCAACCAGCACTCAGGACATGTACCTCCACATAATGCACAGTTGGGATTTGGGAGGTGTTTGCATTGGCCTGTCTGTAGCTATCTGTTACCTATGCTTGCCCAATAACCCCTTCACAGTGTAGGTATGCAGCGACTGCTATGGGCAGTCAGCCTGTACTCTGCATGCTATCAGCCCCTTAGGGAACACTCCTCCTGGCAATCTGGCAGCCCCCCACCCTTTTAGCCTTCCAGAAGGCCATTGAAATCAGACCCTGGGATAGAGTGGTGAGAATTTGAGAATAGTTGTTGGGACATCCTAGGTCTAGGAGGATGATTGAGGCCCTGGATTTTTTAATACGTCTATATAGCTTTTATGGTGTTTGTAGTTTTACTGTTTATGAGCTGTCCAGAGTTGTTTTAAGATGCAAATCTTCTAAATAAATTAATTACTTCCTGTTTTCCTTTAGCTGGTACATCTTGTTTTATTTCAGTATTTGACTGGGCTGCATCAATTATAATTTCATAGGGCCCCAAGTGTGTTTCTCAAGTCTAAAAAAGCTCCTGAAGTGACTTTTGATACCATCAACCATGGTATCCTAAGAGTAGAATAGAATAGAATAGAATAGAATAGAATAGAATAGAATAGAATAGAATAGAACAGAATAATAGAATAGAGTAGAATAGAACAGAATAATAGAATAGAATAGAATAGAATAGAATAGAATAGAATAGAATAGAATAATAGAATAGAGTAGAATAGAATAGAATAGAATAGAATAGAATAGAATAATAGAATAGAATAGAATAGAATAACTGTATTGTCACTTTAAATGTACGCTAATCAGCATACATTAAATTGAGATTTCGTTGCATACAGCTCTCAAAGGGTAATCACCTCCAATATACACTGCATAAACATGAAAAAAATAAAATAAATTATGCATATACCCACATACACACACAGATGTGGCCCAGAGAAACAACACAGTCTAGTTCGGATGTATACATATACATGGCGAGAAAAACGAATCATGCGAGTTTACCGAATCTTGAATTTTGGGCTGTCTGTGGGATTTGGAGCTGAGTAGGGCAGCATTGTGCTGGTTCAGCTTTTTTCTCCCAAGCCAGTCCCAATCAGTGTTAATAGGAGGTGAGAGGTGCAGCCCACAGCTACTCTTTTGTGGGGTGCCACAGGGCTCAGTACTGTCTCCACTCCTTTGTAACATCTACATGAAACAGCTGGGTGAGATCATCCGACACCATGGGATGAGATATCATTAGCATGCAGATGACACTCAGCTTTCCATCTCCATCCCTGGTGATCCAAGCAATGTTGTAGTTGCCCGTTCACAGTGCCTGGAGGCTGTAAGGATCTGGATGGGGGACAACAGGTTCCAGCTGAATCCTACTAAGATGGAATGGCTGTGGATTCAAGGGGCCTCAGGATCCAATTATTTCTCACCTTTAATTGTGGATGGGGTTGCACTACCCCCAGAGAGACCTGGTGTGCAATCTGGGTTTTTTTCCTAGACCACAGGTATCAAACTTGACCGTGTCACGTGACGTATCGTGACATTTTTTTTGCCTTTGCGGAGCCTGGGTGGCCGTGGCCTGCGTGTGACGCATCCAGCCCGCGGGCTGCCAGTTTAACACCCCTGTCCTAGAATCATGACTCCTGCTCGAAGAGCAGGTGGCAGTTGTGGTTAGGGAGGCCTTTCTGCAAATTCATGTTGTGTGCCAGTTGTACCTTTATTCAGATCATAAAGCCTTGCACATAGTCACTCATGCCCTGGTCGTCTCTTGATTGGATTACCACAATGTGTTCCACATGGGGCTACCCTTGAAGAGTATTCAGAAGCTAGAAACGGTACAGAATGCAGCGGCTCACCCGGTTCTGGGAGCACCTAGGGTGGCACATCTACTACTACTGTTGGGCAAGCTGCATTGGTTACCAGTTTTCTTCCAAATCCAATTCAAGGTGTTTATTATTGTCTCTAAAGCCCTATATGACATGGGTCCTAGTCATATGACATGGGTCCTTCTGAGGAGTCATCTCACTCCAGTGGGACTAGCCCATCCCATTATCTCCAGCGGAAGGGGTCTGCTAAGGAATTCTGGATGGTGGGGTCAAGGGAGCTGAGCTTTTTTCACTGTGGCCCCAACCCTATGGAGCACTCTATCAACGGAGGTGAGAACTGGTCACGCGCTTTTGGCCTTCTAATGTTGGAGATAAGACTGAGCCCAAGGGTGAGATCAAATGCATCATCAATCTGGAATCCTTACGCCCCCCCCCCCCCAAAAAAGACCTAAGTCTAACCCTCCTTGAAGTCCATTGACTTTCATCTGCCACCAATTTACTTTGACCATTAGCAGATCAGATTCTTGTATAGGCTGCATGGAATAAATTCACAGTGCTTTTGAACTCTGTCCCGACTCCTAGTTGCTTGTGCCTGACATCTAGAAGAATATCAAAATTTGGTTTTGCTGGTTGGCTTGCGGCCCCGAGGGAGGCACTCCACCACTTGAGATGGTTGAAGAGGGTAAGAAGATCTCATCCCCGTGCCATCTATCTCCTTGGTTCTAGTTTTTGTATACTTTTTAAACATTTTAATTATTTTTATACTTATCTTTCTTACCTTTGTCAGCCATTCAGAGTCGCCTTATAGGAGAGATGGGTGGCATATGATTAATTAATAAATCACAGCTGCTAGGATTTTGTATATGATGCTAAGTCATTAACCAAGCTTTAGAAACAACATTGGTGGGATTTACGCAATATGCTCAACTGCATTCAGTAATATAGTGTAATATGTAAAGATAGTCATTAAATATAATGGAGGGACTCATACAGCAGTTAGCAGTTTTTATAATCCTTAGGAAAAAAAGCTGTAACAACACAAGCCATCCAATCAGATATGATTCCAATGTACAGGTAGTCCTCAACTTACAATAGTTCATTTAATGACCATTCAAAGTTACACTGGCACTGAAAAAAGTGACTTATGTTGTTTTTCACAGTTATGACCTTTGCAGCATTCCCCATGATCATATGATCAAAATTCAGATGCTTGGCAACTGGTTCATATTTATGACTGTTGCTGTCATGTGATCACTTTTCGTGACCTTCATGTGATCACTTTTTGTGACCTTCTGACAAGCAAAGTCAACGGGGAAGCCAGATTCACTTAACTGAGGCAGGAAAGGTCGTGAAATGGGGCAAAACTCACTTAACAAATGTCTCATTTAACAACAGAAATTTTGGGCTCAATTGTGGTAATACATCGAGGACTACCTGTACTTGAAAATTTCTTAAAAATTCAGGGAAATAGTCAGAGATATATCTCCCTTGAAAGTAGCTCATATTGAACAGGCGGCCGTGACCAGGGGGGCGTTTTATCAGGTACGCCTGATCTACCAGTTGCGGCCTTTTCTGGACTGGGACGCCTTGCGCACAGTCACCCATGCCCTTGTCACCTCCCGCCTGGACTACTGCAATGCTCTCTACATGGGGCTCCCCTTGAGCACTCGGAGGCTCCAGTTAGTCCAGAATGCAGCCGCGCGGGCGGTGTTGGGAGGGACTCGTCGCTCCCATGTAACACCGTTACTGCGCGAGCTGCACTGGCTGCCGGTGGCTTTCCGGGTGCGCTTCAAGGTGTTGATTATCACCTTCAAAGCGCTCCATGGCATCGGACCTGGATATCTCCGAGACTGCCTTCTGCCTCAGATTACCTCCCATCGCCCGGTACGCTCCCACAGAGTGGGTCTCCTCAGGGTGCCGTCAGCCAGACAGTGCCGGCTGGCGACCCCCAGGGGGAGGGCCTTCTCGGTGGGAGCTCCCACCCTCTGGAACGAACTACCCCCAGAGATCAGGGTGATCCCGGATCTCCCTTCCTTCCGCCGCGCCCTTAAGACATGGCTATTTCAACTAGCAGGACTGGCCTAAGGGGTAATTTTTAGCGGGGTTTTAAATATAATTTTAAAATAACAAAGGCCAATCTAATATTTCTTTTTAATTATGTTTTAATGATAGTATTTTGGTATTTTTTGTATTTGTTTTTATCAGCCTGTTAGCCGCCCTGAGTCCGCAAGGAGAAGGGCGGGGTAAAAATCCAATAAATAAATAAATAAATAAATAAATAAATAAAAATAAACAGTCAAACATCAGGAGTTGACCACAGGAAATGGTCATAAATTTACGAGGTCATAAAATGCTTCACGATCATTTTATGACATGTTTTATAAAATTTGCCAAATGTCAATTCTGCGGGAGTCACGGGTCCCAGATTTTGGATGCCTTCTGTAAGTTAGCCCACTTGAGGTACCTTGGTTGAAAATGTTTTGTCCTATGATGTATCATTTTGTCCAGACATGAGTGTTATAGTAATATATACAGGATATTACCAGACATGTCAAATCAACTTCAAAAGCACATTGACCCACCTCCCATCAGCTAGCAGCATCTTTGGCTACTTCCCATAAATTGTTCTATACTAGAGAACTGTGTAACTTTATCTTAAAAAATGCAGCCAACTTCTCTTCCTCATGCAGTATAGCAAAACATGCCCTTACTTTTCCACCGTGTGCAAACGCTTCAGCCACCTTCCTGTTACGTCCGCCATAGCATGTGGTAATCAGATCTGCAACCCCACAGCTTTCCAGAAATGTATTTATCGTGACCGTGCCCTTGCAGAAGATTTTAGCGAAGGCAATCATTTCCATCAGGCCTAGGCGAATCACAGCTGCCTTGGTATTGTCCCCAAAGCCTAGCCCATCACAGAAACCAGCTCCAACAGCCACAATGTTCTAACATCCAATGGAAAAATGAGAAAGAAGAAGGAAAAAACAAGTCAACAGTTAAAGACATGAAATAATATTGGGTTCTAATAACTGAAAGCAAACCCCACTCCTTACTAGCACTGATGATGTTACCTAGTTGTGTAATGGAACGTCTGCAAGAAAACAACCAACCTCAGAAAGTACCAAGGACCCCTCAAATGTTGGGTTTTCCCACACACAAAACCCATAACTATCACATTGATGCCCACCAGGCTGCCAGGCTAATCCAAATGTTAATTATGGTTTATAGTTTAATACATACAAACCCAGCTAGCAAAAACTAACTGAAACTATGGCTGAACAAACTACAGCTTAAACTGTTCTACTTAGTGTAATTAGTGCTAAAAATATATGGTTCAGATGTAGTAATAATTCTGTTTCAGAAGGTTAGGACAAAGAGGAAAACATAAAAATAATGGATTTTTTTGAAAAACAATAAAAAAACATTTCAAAATAAACGCTTAAGATTGGCAATAAATTTGTAGTCAGCAAAATAAATCAGATTATTTATATATATATAAATAAATAATCCTGTATCAACTACTGGCACTGCCAGTTTAAAACCATTCTCTACATAAAAGATATCTACCAGACAATGTCAGTTAATTTGCTGACCTCCCGTTCTATTCGACTACAACTTCCGTGTGTTTTTTTTGACAATATTTTATTAGGTTATATAAAGGTAAGGGAAAGGGAGGGTCAATATAGGTAGGATTCAGGGAAGGAATTGGGATGGGGGTAGGTACAACAATGGGGTTGCCCCAGGCCCCAGTAACATTTCAAGCTTTAGCAAACAAACTATCGTCCGGATACAAGTGTTCAATGGGAGTAGTTAATCTAATAATAAGTAGTTGTAGTCAACAAAAATAACTATAATTATAAACCATGTCAATCAATAAACATCAATCATCTTAATAAGTTTCACAATCATTTTTCGTTAACTCATTTTGCTAACCATTGATAAAAGTTTTCCCATGTTTTAAAATAAACTGAGTCTTCTTTCTCTTTAATCTCTAGGGTTAGTCTATCCATTTCTGCATATTCTAAGATTTTCCTAATTATGATCTCAACAGATGGTATATTCTCATTTTTCCAATATTGGGCAAATGCTACTCTCGCGGCTGTCAATATATGTAGTATTAAATACTCATTCTCTTTGCCATAGTTAGATCCTAGTATTCCTAACAGAAACAGTTCTGACTTAAATTCTATCTGTATTTTAGTCATCTTTTCCAGCCATATAGGTATCTTAAACCAAAATTTCTTTGCACTAGGACATACCCACCAGATATGGTAATAGATACCTGGCTTTTGTTTACATTTCCAATAATTATTCGAAACATTTTTGAACATTTTCGCTAACCTTACTGGTGTCATGTGCCATCTATAAAACATTTTATACAGGTTTTCTTTATATGAGGCTGCTTTAGTCAGTTTAATATTTCTGTTCCATAATTTTCGACTACAACTTCCATAATCCCTAGTCCACACAGCCCAGATCAACATCCAGAGGAAAAGAAAATATTTATTTATTGAAAAAAATTGGCCTAGAAAAAATTGGCCAATATTACAGATCAGTAATCTGATTTGTTTTTCTGTTTTGGCCTCAACTGAAAAATATAATGAGATAAAAATAATATACCATTCCGAGGTGCCCCCTTCAGTGCACTTCAATTTGAATTTGAATTATAGGTAGTCCTTGACTTACAACCATTTGTTTAGTGACTGTTTGAAGTTACAACAGCATTGAAAAAAGTGACATGACCATTTTTCATACTTACGACCATTGCAGCATCCCCGAGGGACACGTGATCAAAATTCAGCTGCTTGGCAACTGACTCGTATTTATGAAGTTGCAGTGTCCTGGGGTCATGTGATCATCTTTTGTGACCTTCTGACGAGCAAAGTCAGTGGGTAAACCAAACTCACTTAACAACTGTGTTACTAACTTAACCACTGCAGTGATTCACTTAACAACTGTGGCAAGAAAGGTCATAAAATGGGGCAAAATTCACCTAACAACTGTCTTGCTTAGCAATCAAAATTTTGGGCTCAAGTAGAGGTTGTAAGTCAAGGATTGCCTGCTTTTTATGATTGAATTTGCTATGTATTCTCAAATTGATCTAAACATGCCCAAGATAAGTTTTACTTGGAGAGAAAACTGTATTAATAATAGACAACTTTGGCCTCTGCTTCACCTTCATTAGCCAGGATTAAGGGATTAAGATGCTAAAGCAGAATATCATGAAAAATTATCCTTATTTTTTTAAAAAAGAAAGCATGCAGTTTTGATACCCAATTAGTAACTATAGCTGAACAGTTTTCATTAATATTAGAGCTACAGACCTGAGACAGACCTCATAGGCGTATTTAATTAATCTCATACTTAGAATGTAAAGATATATTGTTTCTATTTACTGTTGATACACTCAATTAAAAATCAGCATGTAAAGCTTTTGTGACACATTTTAACAACTAAGCAGTCTGTAGATCTGCATTTGGCCTGACTATGGTAGGATTCACACAAATACTAAAATGTGATAACTTTGTTTATAGGTCAGAGTTATATGAAGCCAATGAGATAGGTACATCATGCCTTATGGTTTAATGTGTAGCATACATCTCGCTTGTTGAATATTATTTGGTAAATTACACTTAAGCATAGTTTAGCTTAGTAGATCGTAGGAACACAACTACTTCCTTGGAATAACAAACCTTTAAGGCCCCACAGAGCTCCACGGTGTCACAGTCATCCACCACAGTAATTCTGAAATTTGAAGTTTGCATTAATTCTTTGAAGATCTTCCCATTTTTAGCATTTTTAGAACCTAAGAAAAGAAGCACAGGGGTTAGGATTTTAACTGACAACAGAAGAAAGTATTTGACCTGATAGAATTATTTCCTGTATTATTTGTCTTTTAAATGTATGTTTGTGTCTAAAATATGCAGAAAACATTTAAAACAGAGACAATTTTCATGTAAAAATTAACTATCAAATGAAATATTCCAAGTTGGTAAAACGACAGTAAAATAAGTGTGAAATAGAAATAGACTTTCTTAGAAAAAAAGCACAATTATATTATATTATATTCTTAACTAGCTGTACCCTGCCACACATTGCTGTGGCTCAGTCTGGTTAAATGGAAAAGAAAGAAAAGAGAAAGCGCACGTTTGTAATATGTTTACCGTAATTTCACAATGCTAGCGTGTGTTGCTTTTACGTCCAACAGATGGCGCTGTTTTTCAAAAAAAAGCATGTTTTTACCTGTCAGGTGTGACATCTATATAATAGTAGGTATATAACAGATGGCGCTGTTTTTCAAAAAAAAGCATGTTTTTACCTGTCAGGTGTGACATCTATATAATAGTAGGTATATAAAAACATGCGCGTATTTGAATGTAACGTTGTGTCAAAATTTCAAAGCAATCGGTGAAGAACTTTCAGAGATTTAAGATTTTGAACAAACGAACATTTACATTTTTATTTATATAGATGGTAAAATGGCCCAAAGTCAATTGAACTGTGGTGAGATGTTAATATAAAAATAATTATGCCATGGGATAATGAAGGATACTAATTATGATTCTTTAAAAAGAAAGCATATGCTGGTTTTCCTTCTGATTGCATTGATTTCATTTCAAGCTTCCTGAACTATTTGTTTTTTCTTTTAATACCGGCCCCTGAATGAATACAAAAGAGCTGTGTGGTGTCTTATGGCAGCACTCCTGGGGGAAGGTGGAGGGGGGGGATGGATATATTTACTGAAACTATCATAGTGAGAACACAAGAGGACTAGGCTTCCTACAGGACTGGCTTCCTGCATTTGCTTAAAGGAAAAAAGAACTTCAACTTGACTCTAGAAGAAAATAAAAAAAAGATTGGCTAGTTTTTACAGGAATTGCTGTATGGCAGGAGAGCAAGATTAAAACTAGTTCAGTGTGCCATTATTGCAAACACAGGGATGGTGAGAAAAATCCGGATCTGCAGTACAGACTAGCTGCCTCCCTACAATACACTGACTGGCTTCATAAACAAGCTATTTAGTTTGTGATTCAGTGACTCCTGTTGTCTGTGAAAAATGGGCTGAATAAACTAAAATTAAGCAAACCACAGTTAATTTAAGAGTGCCGAATATTACTCAGGACTATTCAGCCATGAATTTTACCAGGTGACATTGACTAATTACCTCCTCCCAGCAGGCTGGGGGTGGTGGTGGATAAAGTGTAGGAAGGCACCGCATCCACCACCTTCAGCTTTCTGAACAAAAATCAGGATGCAAATTTAAAAGACGAGTGAGCGGGTGTAAGTAATGCTGCAAAGAATAAGAAGACGTGAAGCCTTAGATGATAAAAAATCTACAACTATTATCCCAGATGCGATTGGATATAAAAAGAAGCTGGCTGACTCCTTCTGTTCACTGCAGATTTATTTCCCTAGCAAGACAGGCCAATAATTTATGAGTCAATTACCAATGGTAGTTTCACAGAACATTTCATTTGCCACTTCATTGGCAATGTTGGCACCCATGAGCACGCTCATATCTATCTTCAGTTTCTCTCGGATGATGTCCGTGATGAGTTTCAGTCCTTCAGGGCCTTCGTCTACACCCTACTTAACAGAAAAAAGAGGGATTAAAGCAAAGCAAATCCAAATTGAACTGCATTGCAATAGATTAGTGTATGGAACCGACTGTTTTCTATGAAAATTGGGCCAATGAAGACATGCAGATGCCCTTTTTGCTGAAGAATTTGTGCTGCAACAGATAGGCTTTTTCTTCTTTCCTCCGTGGAGTTTTCAGTTAGTGTGACATTTCAGTTTCATTTAAAATAAGAAGCTAAGCTTCTCTTAGGGTAAATCGTGAGAGATGGCCAATCCATTCAAGCCATAGCATCTTCGTTTCTAGGGCTTAGGGCCATAACTTGTTGTAGCAATGCAGCACTCATTTGCATCGGATGCAAGGATGCAAAATCCAGCCGAGTCCAATCCTTTATCTGCTTATATCTAATGGACAGGGTCCTGCCAAACTAAAGCTATAATTCTCAACCCTGATAGACATCCTGAGAGATTCTAGGATGTGGCTATCCTGAACTTCTTCCTCCCTCTCCATCCAGCTTGGCACGGCACAGTCTCTTAATTTGTGCTTTTCTGTGGAATAATGGTGCAGGGGTTAAACTGCAGTATTGCAGGTAAACGCTGCCCACAGCCTGGAGTTCAATCCTGACGGGGCTCAAGCTTGACTCAGCCTTTCATCTTTCTGAGGTCGGTAAAATGAGGACCCAGGTTGTCTATGGAGATCCTCACTCACCCAGGTCATGGTTGTCCCAAAGGTGCTTTTTCAAGAGGCAACTGGACTTTCTTGTTTTTCTTTGAAGACGTTTCGCTTCTCATCCAAGAAGCTTAGATGAGAGCTGAAGAAGCTTCTTGGATGAGAAGCGAAACGTCTTCAAAGAAAAACAAGAAAGTCCAGTTGCTACTTGAAAAAGCATCTTTGGGAGGACACAGATTGTTGGGGGAAATCTGCAAATAATGCTGACACTGTAAACTGCCCAGAGAGTGCTGGAAACCACCTAATTCTGTGCAGGATGAAATATTCCATTTAGCTGTAACTAATCAGACCTCGTATGTCAACCAATACCAGCATGGCAATATATAATCCTATATATGCTGCTAATTTAATCGTATTAGCATCATTATAGTTTCTAGAAGTAGGTGAAAGGTCTTCACAAGAACAGAAATGGTATATACACATTGAGTAAGAGAGGACCGACAGCCCAGGAAGGAGAAGTGACCTTTGGCCAAGATCTGTGTGATCTGCTGCCTGACTCACCAATCAGGTTTTAAAAAAACAAAAATCTTAATGTTTAAACCAGCCTGGATAAGTCACTTGAAGCCAATTGTTACTTTAATTCTGATATGTATATAAACAACTGACCTTCTATAGGTCAGCACTCAGGAAACAAAGTAGTTGTCTATACATTTATGGTTCTGTAAAGCCATGATTGAGTTTCAAAATGAGTAAAAGTATGGTATTTTCCTTTCTTAAAAGTGTTCCTCTACAGTGAGTCATAATAATGCTTTTTTAAAAAAAAAGTTGTACAGAATGCCAAATCCTTTACTAAACACGGATTAATTTCACACATGAAGGCAGAATGTAGTTTTTATGTTTTCTGGATTAGAATAGTATATGAACTCAGCTACTGTGATTTTTTAAAGTGTGATTTATATTTTGCATAAACCATAAGCTCAGCCAACTCTGATTTGTTCCATAAACAATGGTTACACAAACCATGGCTTAATGCAGTGTGTAAATTGAGCAATACTTCATGGCACTTGCATCAGTTGTTTTTAAAATGGGTATGTGTATTTAACTGTTTATTTTTTAATCACTGTATACTCCAGCTTTCTCCCAGAAGCAACATTTAAGGGGGTTAACAATAAAATAACAAAGTTATACTGATATTTTAAAATGCACTTCAAATAAAGACCATTATTAAAATATCTTTCCCACTTAAAGAAGAAAACGCCATTCCTTACCTTGATGAGTGAAATCCCAATTGCTCCTGCTTTTACATGACCAGTAAGTTGCTCGCAAATTTTGGGAATAAACTGATGAGGTACAACAAATATTAAAATATCAGCTTCCTCGGCTGCTTCTACTACTTCTGGTACCGCAACCTGAAAGGAAAACAGATTACAGTATTGCATTCTCCTGCTGAATACTGAAGGAGAAAAGCACTGCGGGAAATGTTTACCACAACCAAACAATCAGGTGCAGAAAACATACAACAAGCCATAAATATATGTTTGCCAACAGTTTGCACAAAAATCAAAAATGCAGACAGCTGGAACATATGCTTGGCACAATCTAAACGTAACACATACTTATCTTTATTGGATGTTTGCACACGGGTGTTTAAAAGCATGCAGTTTGTACACATAACACCAGTGTTTCCTACTGTTCCAATTGCAACAGGTGAGTCAGGTTCCTTAACAAAACAAGAGGCTTGGACCACATAAGTAGTTTATTTAAGAACATTCCATACGGAATTCTATTTCTGCCACAAAGAAGGAAGGGCTTCTCTCACGGTTAATTCAGAGAAAAAAACTGCACAGCTTTATAATGACAATACAGGTAGTCCTCGACTTACGACAGTTCATTTAGTGACTGTTTGAAGTTACAACGGCACTGGAAAAAGTGACTTAAGACTGTTTTTCATAGTTACGAACAGTGCAGCATCCCCAGGGTCACGTGATCAAAATTTGGATGCTTGACACCTGGTTCATATTTATGACGGTTGCAGTGTCCCAGGGTCATGTGATCCCCTTTTGTGACCTTCTGACAAGCAAAGTCAATGGGGAAGCCAGATTCACTTAACGATGGTGTTACTAACTGAACAACTGCAGGGATTCACTTAGCAACATAAATTTTGGGCTCAGTTGTGGTCATAAGTCAAGGTCTACCTGTACAAAATTCTTTAGGGACAGTCAGAGTTAAGTCTCACCCAGAGAAAATGGCCTGTGACACCCTGGTCTATTGTTCTGTTAATGTCAGTGGGATTTGTAATAAAGTGAGAGGAAGGAAGGCAGGCCCTTTACAGTATGTGCCTGTGTTCTGGTGGGCCATCGTGTGTGTGTGTGTGTGTGTGTGTGTGTGTGTACAGACAGACAGACAGACAGACAGACAGACAGACAGACAGACAGACAGACAGACAGACAGACAGACAGACAGATAGATAGATAGATAGATAGATAGATAGATAGATATTGTTGTTGTTAGTTGCAAACCCATCGCAACCCCATGGACAACGTCCCTCCAGGCCTTCCTAGAGATACCTGTTTTTCGGCCAGTAATTGCCAACTCCTCCATTTTGGGGACCTAAATGGTGAATCCGGTTATTGATGTGTTTCATTCCACTTTTGGAATTAAAAGGGAAGGGTTTTTTGTTTTGGTTTTTTATCTCGCACTTCCATCATTTCTTTTTTGAATGTTAATTTTCACATGTACAGGTAATCCTTGACTCAGGACCCACAATTGGACCAGTATTTCCATTGTTAAGCAAGGGAATTGCTAAGTGAGTTGCACCTAATTTTATGACTTTTGCCATGGTTGTTAAGTGAATCATTAAAGTTGTTAAGCGTGTCACACAGTTGTTAAGCAAATCCAGCTTCCCCCGCTGACTTTGCTTGTTGGAAGCCAAGCTGGGAAGGTGGCAATTGTGTGGTCCTAGGACACGGCAACCATTGCAACCATCGCAAATGTATGCCAATTGCCAAGCTCCCAATTTTTCATCATATGACTGTGGGAATACTCAGGGATTGTAAGTACAAGGACCAAATCATAAGTCACTTTTTTCAACGCTGCTGTAACTTCAAATGGCCATTAAACAAATGGCTGTGAGTAGAAAATTACCTGCATCATGTTAGTGTTTTTGGTTTCAATATGCACTGCTTAGCGTCACTGTTGTGCGATGGATAGCTATATACTGTAGTGTAAATTGTTTAAAATAATGAAATAAGATAAAATAACATGCTGAGAAGAGATCAGATGCATGGTGGTGCTGTTGAACGTACATTATGAGAACAAATGAATAATTAAAGTGCTATTTTATTTTATTTTTCATGGCACACTCTGCTTGGAATTTTTAAAAAATTTCTGGCCATCAAGTTAAGTCAATTGGCCCCACTGACAACATCTCATCTATATCCTTTACATTTCAGTGTCACATTATGAATTTGGGAGCTGTAATTTGTTTTCGTCTAAGTTACTTATTTGTTCTACTTTCTTTGAACTTAACTGGAATATAATTTAAAACTGAAAGCATTCTGGTATGTTTTGCTGTCACTTACCACATTTGGAGGTAATTTATGCCCTGGGAGATATTTTACATTTTCATGTTCTTGGTTAATGATTTCAGTGAGTTTTCGACCATTAATTAGTTCTTCAAATACCCACATCTTAACAACAGGGTCAAACTGATTGGAGCTTTTGGTATTTTGGCCTACGATTTTTGCAATGGCAGATCCCCTTAAAAAGAAAATCAAAGAGAAAAATGTGAAATTGCAACTATTTATACAATCATTCAATTAATTTACATGTTAATTGACTGTATTAAATAAAAAAGTGTATATATTCAACTCCACCAACAATATGATGTACTTTCAAATAAATAAATAAATAAACAAACAAACAAACAAACAAACAAACAAATAAATAAATAACTTTGAAATGTTTGAATTTCAATTTTTGCATTGATCAGGGGTTGCATTCTATTACCTTAGTTGCTCCTTCTAACTTTAGGATTCTAGAACACCTTATTATTACTCAGTTCTTATGACTATAGAATCAGTCTGCATAATTAAATGGGCAGCCTAGCAATTTAATAAATAAATAAAGAATTACAAAGGAGACCCAAGCTTATATTCATTAACCTTTTCTATAAAGCATCCATACTAAGTATAGACTATAACAACTGTTTGCCCAGTTGGATGACTAGCATTAAGGTGGACTCGGTTATAGTGGTGATGAGTCCACTGTAAAAGACCAGGTTAGGGACAGATCATCATAAGGCAGTGGTGGCGAACCTATGGCACGCATGCCAGAGGCAGCACTCGGAGCCCTCTCTGTGGGCACCTGCGCCACTGCTGCCAGCAGCTTGCACAGGTACATTAGGCTGCTGCTGCCGCCCGAGGCAGCAGCCGCACCCAGCACAAAGGAGCCAAAGCGGCCAGCTAGCGAACTCGAGTAGAGGTGGCAGAGCATGCCCACACCCAGTAAGCCAATGGCCACCCCGAGCAAGGAAAGCCGGATCCCCATCAGTGCCATGGCCCCCCAGTCCTAGCTAGGATTGTATGCCTCCCCCATCTATGCTGGGCCTCCTGCTCACCGCCCCACCCGCCAGAGACCCCCTGATCTCTCCCAATTCTGCCCGGCCCCCACAGGTGGCCCCACATGAGCAGCATCGAGGTGGCTAGGCCCACCCCAGCCAGGCCCACCCAATCTGCCGTGACAATCGCAGCCAGGCCCACCCAGTGGGCCACACCCCCATACCCCCCTGGGGGCACCACAGTGCCCTGGCACTTTGTGATAAATAAGTGGGTTTGGGGTTGTGGTTTGGGCACTCGGCCTCTAAAAGGTTCGCCATCACTGTCATAGGGAAATAAAATGATACCCCAAAATTAATCAATCAATTGGCCAGTTGAGTTGCACCTCATTTTCCATTGCTCATGTCTGTTGTACTATTAATAGATCATACCTAGAATCACTCGGAGCCAAGCAAAACTAGAAGGAGATTTTACATGATTTATTCAATAACTTTCAGGTGAATTAATATTCACATGCTTTACAGGTGCATATGTTAAAGAAGGGGAAAAAACCAATAGCAATTGATGGAATTCCTATAAACTAGGTAGTAACCTTCACTTTTTGCTATATATATATAAAGCTTAACAAAATAAAGCATTTAGCAAAAAATCTATTGCAAAAAGCTGAGAAGAATGGTGAAAATAATTGCTGTTGCAGAAAGCCAATACTGTACACATTTTACATGTCTTTAAAGCTGTTTTTGTGACTCATAAAAAAGTTTGTTTTAAATAGATAGATAGATAGATAGATAGATAGATAGATAGAGAGAGAGAGAGAGAGAGAGAGAGAGAGAGAGAGAGAGAGAGAGAGAGAGAGATAGTGGTGTATTTTATGTGGTTAATACATTAAGGGGGCAAAGCAGACAGGAAGAATTCAGGACAAATAGCGCAAATCTCAGCGCTAAGGAAAGGAAGGTTTATCAGAATTAGATCTCTTTCTTTATAGCTCTTTCTTCTGTCTCTGAGCCAGATTGAGCAATGCAACAAAAGTTTGCTTCATAAATGAGGAAGAGTATGAATATTTGTTAATTAGTTATAACCTCCCACTTGAACTTTGTAATATATATGATAACTTGCTCTATCTCTTAAAACAAGGCGGACAACTCAGTTGATCTCAGGGAGCAAATCCAAGCTCTGGCCTCACCTTCTGATCTAGATAACATTGAGGAGGAGGAGGACTTATTGAATGCATGATCTCACTCCCTAGGTTGAATTCTGCTCAAACAGAGGAGATGCTCTGAACAAATAGATTGGCCCACATATTGTCTTTTTCAAGAAAAAAAAAGATGGAATGAACAAAACACCAAAAGCAGGGGTAGGCAACCTTGGCTCTTTTATGACTTGTGGACTTCAACTCCCAGAATTCCTGAGTCAGCTATGCTGAGGGGAAAGGGAGAGGTTTCCAAGCTGAGCCATGCTGGCTCAGGAATTCTGGGAGTTGAAGTCCACAAGTCATAAAAGAGCCAAGGTTGCCTTCCCCGACCAAGAGGAATAGTTGGTGCCTGGCCTCATCTGTGCCTATAAGGTAAAGAAAGTGATGTGAGTGGAACAGAAGCACTCCAGCTGCAACAGTCTTGATTAGGAGTCTTCAAACTAGGCAACTTTAAGACTTCTGGACTTCAACTCCCAGAATTCCCCAGCCAGCATAGCTGGCTAAGGAATTCTGGGAATTGAAGTCCACAAGTCTTAAAGTTACCAAGTTTGGTGACCCTTGGTCTTGAAAAAGGACAAAAGTTTTGAGAAATGGAGGCAACCTTTCTTGTAGCCCGAGGCCAGGCAGTGCAACAATAAGATAGATTACACTGAAAGATTAGGGCCCCCACTCTCAATATCAAATATTTATCATGGAATTCAGATTCTACAATGTTTGTATTATAGAACTGATTTATTTATAAGCTTAGCTTATATATGGTTCCTCAGTAGGATTCAGGAGACTAGAGGTTAGCTTGTCCTTATGCTTGAAGACAACATACAGGTAATAACTATAAATTCAAGACACCCATTAAAGTTATACATAGACAGCTAAAACATAATATGCATCTATTGAATAGCCAGAGTAATAAATTAGGCAGCCATGTGCAAAACAAAAAAATTCAAAAAAAAATGTAGCAGACTGATTACGGTATATTGAAAAAAAAATCTAAATGCTGTTTGGATGTGGCACCTTTGTGGTTGTATGTGGAGGGCTACCTGTCTACCCTACAACAATAAAATTGTATTCCTGGAATCCTTGATATGCCTATTTCTTGACCTGATCTGTCTCAAAGGGTTGACCCACTGATTTTTTAACATTGAGAACAACAACAAAAATCCCAGCCAAAATGCCAAATGAAACCATCAATCTAAAAAGGGTTGAGGACTTCTGTTTAAGTCTTTCCCTGGCCTTGGAAACCAGCCTGATTTTTAGGTTGCCTGATGAATTTGAATTTTTTGGGCTGACTTTGTAACAGACATAAAAGAAACATAAAATTTGTTCTCCTCAATCAATCAATAGCTATTAGTGATAGAACTCTCCACATTCAAAAGGTAGCAGAGCATCTTCAATTAACTGGATTTTGGAAGAAAACACATGATTTCTGCTTATTAGTATTATAATCTGGTGATAAAATGTTCAGGCTATTTATACCTTAGGGGCTAAGAACCAGGTTATTCTTATATTCACTTCTTGGAATGCCTTAAGCGAGCCATGGAAGAACACTGGATAACACTTACACAAACATTTGATAGATGCATTATGTTATCAGCTGCATGTACCAAGGGGGTGAACTTTGTATTGTAATAATGCAACCCCAAAATTTGTCATTTTGATTACAAGTTCCAATCTGCAAATGTTGTTGCCAAGCAAATTACAGCGGAACAAAAGCCATGTAAGCTATTTTTTTTTGCTCCTGGAGAAAATATGAGGCATAACTCTAATAAATAACAGCCTGAGACAGAGATGGGGAAGGATTTTCAACTTTGGGAGCTTAAACATATCCTTTGAGGGTTTTTTTTTTAAGATATCCAAAGTGGATCTTTTTTTTTAATGCACTTTTAGAATAAAAGTTCCATCTGGATTAAGATTTAATAGATGTGATTTCTTTAAATACTATATATATTTTCTTTATATCACCTTTGATGCAAACACTTCAATATTTATTTATTAGTTAAGTAGTAAACACAGGCAGAACTGCTTGAAAAAGTGCGAGGGACAAATAAAAAAATAGAGCAAGCCACAACAAAAACCCTTTGTCGAGCCCTGCGAGGCCGTCCCAGCCACGTATGGCCTGCCTCCCACCACCCCGTTCACCTTACCCAGGGCTGCAGTCCAGGGTAAGGTGAACCCTTACCCTGGACGGTTTGACACCCTTCTTTTGATTTCATTAAGTGTATTTAAATACATTGAATTAATTGTACTTAATATTCTTGTATTTTCAATATATTTAGTAAGCATCTCTGATGTCATTGCACATCCTAGATTTAGGGACAACTCCTGGAGTGGTCCTGTGGCACCTCAGCCAGGACTATCAGGGATGACAATCCTGAAACTTTCCATCATTAAAGTTATGTGAATCTAAGAGTCATTGCCCCCCCCTTTTCCCCAGGCTTCTTTGAAAATGAGGATGGGTTGCTTTACTTAATATAAGGGTTGCTAAGCTTGCAGAACATCTGAATAACTTCTTTGGAATTATTTTCAAAGCATTCAAAAGCCAAGAATCTAACTCTTCTCTCATCTAGATGTCCCTTGTACATTCTGTTTCTCATCAGCACTTCTTATCACTAGGCACTGATGCCAACAGAAATTTGGCAGGGAAACAACTCTTACCACCCATCATTTTTTCCCTATTGAAATTGACACCCTCACTGCTTTACATATATGTGGCTTTAGATGAGCAATGCTGATTTAAATGGATAAGTCTCATTCCATTAGATTTCATTAAGTCGTCCTCTGAGGAGAAACTTCTACACGTATGACAATAATGAAAAGGAAATTCAGGAATCCGGAACTGTGGAGGATAGTAATTGGGGATGATGATGCAAAACCAATGAAGGGGGGAAAAAGCATCTTATAGATGGATGTTTTTCAGTGTTATGCTGAATTTCTGCAACTTGCACAATTATAATAGAGAAGGAATGAATGAAGTAAGAAATGGATCTCTCCAAAATTGCCAATTTTCTTCTTCATATTTTAACATTGTATTGCATGGAAAAATCATCCAGAATTTCAGAATATCAGAGAGAAAGAAAAAAAATCTGCCTTGATTATTGCTTTCTTCACGGTTCTAAGACAATTCTCCTATTTAAAGGAAAGTATTTAGGGAACAAATTAGTTTTTCCTTCAGTTAAATGTAGTATATTTCTTGAGTAAGCAATATTCTGCCATGGCTGTCCACATGGTATTGTCAAAAAAAATCAGATGGCAGTCACAATATCTTGGAGGAATTCTGACAATGTGCTTAAAAATAAGTTAAGGCACTATTATGGCTGCCATCTTGACTTTTTAAACTGCATATGAGGACACCCGTGTTGTTCATAATATATCCCAGAAATATATCCCTAACCTTTGGCTTTCAAAAGTTAATCTCCTGATCTATTTCTTTCCAATAGCAACAACTATTTCTCAACAAAGGCTATTATGTCTCAAAATGAAACTGGGCAATAGGACAGCCAGATTCAAGGATTTCTTACACAAGCATACTTGTAGTATCATTGTCAAAGCTCTATCGTTTGCAATATGTAAAATTTAATACCACTTTTTCAAGAAAGTCCAGATTTCTGAGGGGGGGAGAACAGCTTTCGAAGGAAGCAACATCATTTTCATTGTATCATTGTTACAATAATCATTTGTTTCTTATTATTTCTTTTGCCATTCAAAAACCAAAGTGAACTCTCTTATCTCTGGCTTGTCAGGGTGACAAGTTTGATACATGTAATTTGAAACCACTTTGATACAAAAAGATTGTTGGTCAAAGTCTCTCAGAAATGTGGAGTGTGAACTTACAAAGTTGGAAATGCTGACAGGGCTCATGGAGTGAGCGTCATGAGATCATGTCCTTCTGAGTAGAGGAAATAGAAGGACACCAAGTTTCTGGAACTGAGGAAGAGAAACTAAACTTCAAGCACTATGCATCAATTTATTATGTCTTGTAATCGGAACTATATTTCTTTAACCAGCAAAATTGATGTTAGAGTGCGTAGCTGAGTAATCTTTTCAAAAACATTGTAAAAAAAACCCCCAAAACCATGTCTTGCACAAAGATACCTGCACATGTTTCTCAATAGCTGTTCTCTTGCTAAAAAGGTACAACATGCAAAGTTCATGATCTTTATACAAGATTAGCTATTTCATATTCAGAAACAGTTGCTGGTTGGCTCTAGTATTCCTGCCAATTATTTAACCATGAAGCAATGTATAAATATCAAAACTAATTCATTACCACTGATAATGAATTATCAGGCTTGATCTTTCCATGCCACATTATTTTTTGGGGGGGAGGGGGGAATCAGGAGATCAGGGTTAAAAAGCTCCTAGAACAGTTCAATGCAGCTCACAAAACATCCATTTGTTGATATATTATTACAATCAGCCTGAGTCGATCCACTGTAGGATGAAGACCCTGCACTGAAGGTTTTGGGCTGTAATCTATTATGCTGGTTCCAGTGCAGTTTAATAGATTGTTAATGACTTCTCAGTTTAGGCTGAGGAAGAGTGACTGGCCCAAAGTCATCAAGCTAGCTTCCATGCTTATGTAGGACTAGGATCAGATTGACCCAACTTTATCATTGCACTACCTTGGTTCTTAAGCTTTTATATACTACTGGAAAAGTTCAGATTGTTCCCTAAAGACAAGGTAATAAAAGCCACAGAGTTTCATATGCTAGTTTTCAAGGGCAAGCCACCATTTTGTGCCTAGATAATGCAATTTGAAAAAAATATTTTGAATTTTTTTTTGAGTAGCTGATGGTGGCTGCATGGCAGTGATACCTGAGCAGATAAAGGAGAGTCTTTAGTACTTTGCCAAATTTGGAGGGGGTGGGAGTTTTATTAAAATAGCTTAAGACTATTAGAAGTCTACGGCACTTATTATGCATCTTCTTTTTTAAAAAAAACCCAAAGTTGTGTCCCAGGATGATTCAGTGGTTTCTGCTGAACAAAAAGGCTAGAGATAGTATGTGAATCTCTGGCCACAGACCATTCAATGCTGTGCTTAAATGTATAGACACATTTTTAGAAGTATATTCCAGAATTTAGTTTTAGTAGATGACAGCACCTGCTTGGTGCTATATGGGCTTGGAAGCTAAGCACAACTAGGCCTGGCCAATGCTTGGAGATTGTAGGGAAATTGCATCATTGTGTTAATGAAGTTGTTGGACTCAAGGGAGAACTTGTCTTTACTTTCCTAGAATCTAATCACTTCTGCAGATCTGATGATTGTACGAAGATTCTCAAGAGTTCTCTTCATTGTTATTAATGACCTAAATGATAAACAGTGTGTTTCTGTCATTCAGGAAACTTTTAAAAATATTCTAAAATGGGATCTTGTCTGTTGTACCAAGGGATTGCCAGCTTTAGAGGTTTCACTGACGGCCTCTTCAGTTTGTACTGAAATCTGCTTCTAAGAGAAAAGACTCAAAGAAGGAAGAAGGAAGCTTTGCAGCTGGTATCAATACTGAGACTGGAAGAACATGGAGCAGGTAAACTGGAGGAAACTGGAACATGCAATCATCAGATCAAGAAATTCTATCAACTGCTGGGCAAAAGCCTTCAGCCACCCATAATGCATACAGTTACAAGATTTTTTTCAAGATTGAATAAGTCATTCAAGCAAAACAAAACATTCCTTCAGAATGTGGATTTCTGGGAGAATGGCCAAACTGGATGTCTGGTTAACAAAGCTGTTCTGTTATATAATAGAAATGTAAAGCTTTATGTAAACTGAAAGATGATTAACAGAGACTATTCATGAAAAAAGCAGGGTGGGGTAGTGAAGAGAAAAATGGATTTGATCAGTGTAAACATTATTAGAGTCTCAGCTTGTAACTCAGGTATTATAATCTGAACATATACAATAAGTGTCAACCCAGGGGAGTTTGTTGCCTGGGACAGAAAAGTGTATAACCAAGTTATTTTAGGACCTGGAATTTCAGCCAACAAGCAGATATCAGAGAAAGTTGCTAGAACTCCTCTATTATTTTTCTATTAAGATGCTAACTTCAAAAGCTCACTTTAAGCTGACTTTAAGAATTAACCAATAAGGTTATAAAGAAATAAATGATATAAATGATTTATAGCCCCCTCCAAAACAAATCAACCATATCCCTCCTAATCCTTTTTTGAAGGAAGGCATACTTCTGGATCCAGAAGTTAAGAAAGCTTGGGCCTGGTTAATATTTAAGAGACTTAGAGTATTAGTACAGTCCATTTTTTTCTTATTTTATTTCATCCTTGCCTGTCCTTTTTTAAAAAAATTGTAAATTAAATTATAAATTTTAAGTTGCTTGGATTTTTTTCCATGTATTTCTAGATGAATAGCACTGTTAATCCAAAACAGAACCAATGTCTCCTTCTCTTGCATAAATCATCTGGAGTGGATTGACTTTTGCAAGAGATGTTTTATCAAAATGTTGTCATGACAAGACAGCTAAGATTGCATTCCAGTTCCCTCTGGGTTTCTCTTTAAATTCTTTAAGAATATATTTGATGTATTATCTGGTATACAGTTCCAATCCTTGCAAACACCTTAAGAGGAAATCTAATATTCATCTCTATCTAGTGTCTTTATGTATCATTATCATATATATCATTATACTGAATTTCCAGTTCATTGTGATCTTGTGTCAAATACTTGTTTTTCAGTTTCACTCAACTCATGTGATTATTGAATTTACAAAATTATGAAGAAATAAGGGAAGTTCTTGAATTTTTTTTTTGAAGGAAAAGTGGACACTGTTATATATTTTAATGAAATATTCCAATATAAGTTTAAAAACCCCATGCTCATCACCAGGCTAGAAAGAACATTTATTTCCTGAGTGCCCTGTTTTGAGGAATAGTAGATAAAGGGTATTCAGAGAATAATTTAACTACCAGAAGTCTTGGAATATCTTAAAAACCAAAACGTGCAGCGGCACAAGCTTTCATAAACCTCAATGTGAGTGGGTGAGAATGGGTGAATCCTCAAAATAACTTTCTAAGTTAGCTAATACCTCACTCTACTTCCTACATTTCATTTCCCTCTCAGTTCCATATTTCCTCCTCCCCCAAAAGACAGCTGTCAGTCATCCTGTCCAGGAAAGCAGAGGCCTTAATAATAATTACCGTAGGTCTTAAGATGCCACAAAACATGGATGCTTTTACTGCAACAGACCCTCCTTGGACCCCGCAGGAGGCTGTCCAAACACTACTCGGTGTTCCTACGCGGTAACTGGGGAGGGGGGGGAGAGGGCGGGAGAATTGTGGGGAGGGTGTCGCTATTTTCTCAGATGTGTAAATGATACCAGGGGAGACCGGCGCTGCCTGAGGAGTGAATGGTCTGACCAAGAACTGGCCGCCTACAAAACTTGCGGCTCCCTTTTTATAAAAAGGTACCATCGTCGTTCCCTGTGATCTCCTGACAGGGACGCTGGGATCACTTCTCGCTCTTCGCTTCATAAAGAGACCAGAGGCGATCCTTCTCCGCCGTCCCCCTCCCAACCCGGAAAACCTCAAGCTGAGCTCCCGGGAAGTGGCAAAAGCAGGTGAAGCGGGGGGGCTCTCAACAGGTCTGCCCCCCCTGCCCTCCCCCACCCCCCTTCCCCGGCGCCCGTAATCCTCACCAGTTGCCGGATCCGATAATGCAGACCTTCAGAGGAGGCATGGTGGCGGAGGTGGTGGTGGCGGCGGCGGCGGATGATGGTCCGCGGTTGTGATCTCCAGGAGAGCCTCGGTTGCACCGGCTCACTCAGCGTCGAGTCGTGCGCTCCCCGGCTTGGAGCGCCTTGACGGCGGCTTTGACACCCGCCCACCTGGAAGCCGCGCCCGCCGCCTCGTCCCGAGATCCAGCCCGCAGGGGAGGGAAGGCGGCCCTGCGGAGCAACGAGAGAAGAGCGGGATCAGAGCGAGGCCCAGGGGCCGAGGCCGGAGAGGAAGGGCGGCCTCGGTCCCCGCTGGCTGCGCGCGTTTGTGGGGATGCGTGGTTGGAGCCAAGCGTTCCCCCGGGGGGGAGATCCCGGAGGGGGAGAGGAGCAGCCGAGTGGGAAAGGGGCAAGAGCACATAACGGGCCAGGGAGGGGCAAATATAAAACGCGACAGAGCTGCTTGTGCCGCCTTTGGGGTTTTGTGCCTGCTGGGGAGAGGTGGCAAGAAGGTAACAAGCATGTGTGCCCATGATGTTGCCATGGTGTCCAAAGAGTCTCTTCCCGTTAGGGATGTGGTGGTAGTGGGGGGAGGACTCTCATTGCATCAAGAGAGCTGCAGAAGCGGTTCTTGGGTAGTTAAGGCGCTGCTGCCTTGAGCACACCGTGGGTAACGTAGAATGGACACACACACTCGGACACACACACACACACACACACACACAGAGAGAGAGAGAGAGAGAGAGAGAGAGAGAGAGAGAGAGAGAGAGAGAGAGAGAGAGAGTGGCAAAGCAAGAAAACACCTTCCCCTTGGGGTGGGTGCCATGTGTGCTGCTCCCTGCCGAGAGTAATGGAGCAGCCATTGGCTGCTCAGCCAGTTTGAACTTTCTCCTGTGCACAATTGACGTTTCCCACTCGTGCCCGTGGCTGCGGAAGGGGCGAGAAACAGACGGGGCTGTTTCACTCCTTTCGCGGTCTGCTTTATTAGCTATTGGTTCCACGAAGGTTGGGGACTTATTGCCAGAAGTCCCTGATCTAACTTGGGATGGTGCAGTTATTTACATTCGGAGAACTGGAGTGGAGTTCACTTTATCAAAGCAATCCTTCTGCTGCGGAAGAATGAAGGTTTAATAATGTTTTTATTGCAATTTACATATTTTATATATTTGAATTGCAAAAAGGTTTGTTCCAAAGGATGTTGACCATTCTCCGGAAGTACCGGATACTTTGTTAGAGTTACATCTACCTTTTCTCCAAAAGTTCAAAATGAAATCCTCAAGTTATCTACTAAGTAAAAAAAAAACCTCTCAGGAAGATTAGGCTGAGAGAGAGGAAATTGTCTCAAAGACAGCCAATAAGATTCGGTTGATTCCCCCAGTCCTAGTTCAACACCTTAACAATCACATTATACTGAATCATGACACAGTAACATTCCAAACTGAAACATGGCAATTATGTTGCATAATTACAATTTCTACTGTGCAGCATTTCAAATCAGGGAAAGAGGAGAACATCCTTCGTAGGTTCTGTTTTCAGCTTAAATATTCGGAGACGAGATGAAGTAACAGATTTTAAAATAAAGGAAATACCACTTTGAAAACCAAAAGGCAGCGCAAATGTAATCTCAACTATGTGTGCTAATCATTATTTGGATCTTCAAAGATACATCTCTGTACCCTGAACTTCGGTTCCTCGATCAGTTAAGATTGCTTCTGTGTAGAAAGGCTGCGATGGGATGAGAAATACATTTGCACAACAATGATAAAATTAATCTGCTGCGATGGGATGAGAAATACATTTGCACAACAATGATAAAATTAATCTGTTGGGTTCAGCAGCCACTGGAGTTCAAGCAGAATGAGTCACTCCAAAGTAGTAAAAAAAAAAGATGAGTATTTTCTATTTAGTGAAAAATTATAGGTTTCATTTTTGGGAACCTTTATCAATTCTTGTTAAAGCAATTCAACATAGAACTTATTGTCTTATAGCAATTACAGCCTATTGTCATGTTTTGTGCACAAAGAAAAGGCAGCGATAACCTCCCATGTGTCCTGTTTGTGATCTTCCCATGTTCATGTCTGGAAAAGGAAGAGAATCAACATGCATCCTTTAGTTTGAAACAGTAAAGCAGTTCTTACATTCTGAAGCTCTGAAATTTCTAAAGCAACAAAAGCAGTTTGTAATTAAACTTTAAATCTGTGAAATTTTAAAACACCAGTATTTTTCCTTCTGTTCTCTGGCAAGTACAGGGTCTGGTGTTTTTTTTTCCAGATCAACCAAGCGCTGATCTATTGGTCGCAATAGGAATTGACTGACAGGCTTGTCTTCAAAGCCTAATGTGGGATGAGTGAGTGTGATTGCATAAGGCAGGACTAGAACTCACAGTCTCCTGGTTTCTAGCCTGTGCCTTATCCACTAAACCAAATTGTCTCCCGAACACTGGAAGACCCCAGTATCAGCCTATGATAAGTTGCTGACAAAGTCATTTTTCAGCTTACCGCATCTTTTCCCAGTTTAGTATTTTAATTTCCAGCCTAGACAAAAGAAAGGTGGTTGATTAGGGAACAAGAGCTCAGGATTGAGACTCAAACACCCTCCCCCTGCTTGGCATGGCCACATCTGCAGGCAAATCCACACCACACCACCGGCCTGGAAAACTGATCCAGATTATCTGAAAACAAAACTCTGCTCATAGAGCATTCTGCTAAAGGAAGAAGAGAGAGATTTCTTGTTGACTTGCTCTTTCTTCTAGATTCCCATATTCCTGCTCCTGGGGATTTGTTGCCTACTCTGATTTTTCAGAAAAGCGTTTATCTGCACCATTTGCTGACATTTTCATCATTTTCTGATTCTATTATTAAGGAAGGTGAGTTGGCTGAATGAGTCATACAAGGTGCTGTGACACCAACAGATAATTGGCCTGTGGCAGGGCAGAAGCTGCTAGTTCTTGAATCCCATTGATGAGGACAGGCTATCTGTGATAAAGAACCTGTAAAAGGAATTGAGAATCAGGGCAAAGGACACAAAACGTTGAAATTCACCAATTAGCTTGAACACCAGCCACATTGACCTCATTTTTCTGTTTGGTATCACTTCATTCAAACACATTTGCCTGGTTTAAAAAACAAAACAAAACAACTTTGAAACTTCTTTATAAGCTTGACCTGGCATGGGAAAGGAAATGCCCTTATTGAGTGATCTAGAGCCAGCTTGGTTTAGTGGTTAAGGCCCCAGGGTAGAAAGCGGGAGACAATGAGTTCCAATCCTGCCTTAGCCATGAAAGCCAGCTGGGTGACTTTGGGCCAGTCAGTTTCTCTCAGCTCACCTCACCTCACCGGGTTGTTGTGTGGAAAATAGGAGGAGAAAGGGGTATTGAGTATGTTTACCATCTTGAGTTGTTTGTAAAAAAGAATAAAAGTGGGATACAAATTAAATAAATAATAATAATATTGCATTCTTTTTTTAAAAAAATGTTTTATTGATTGTTAAAAATTACAATCTTTAGTGCTTAGTAAACATGTTGTCTGGATTCACATATTTAACATTGATTTCTTCAATATAAGTCTGTTCAGTACTGCACAATCCAGTATTTTTTTCCCGATCTTCCTTTCTTCCCCATATTTTTTCCATTTTCCCCTCATTACACAGTTACAATTCTTGGTACTATTGATGTATACAAAGTTAGATATAAACATCATCATATCTTACTAATGTCATACAAATACAATAATATCAATTCATAAATCAATATCCTGTTTTTCGTGCTGTTAGGGTTTGATTTCCCATCAATATTTGAAATATCTTTGTCAGTTATGGTTTTCTCAATATTAATTACATTTATATAGCTAAAAGTTTTATTCATATTTCCCATATCAAAAAGAAAAAGAAAAAAATGCTATTTTAATTTTAAATCATATTTTTCATTATAAAAATCTAATTGTATCTAAGGGTCAACCATTCTTTTAGTCTTATTCACATAAGTATTTGAACATATAATGCCCCCTCTAAAAGGTCAAATCTTCTGTTTTTTAAATCTAACTCTCACTTTCTTTCTTTGCCAAGTAGTTTTCCAACCCAGGACAATTAAGTCACCCAGGAATTTTCTTTCTATTTTTGTGAAATTTGCTTGGCACGAGGAAGACAATTTAGGTATTTTGGGGGGAGAATTCTGCCCATTTATATTCCTTAAGCAATTCCCAGTTTCCTTCTCCCTCAGTTTCTCTTTTCATTCCTTGTCGCCCAAATTGTGGCATTTCCCCTAACAGCTCTATATTCCATTTTCTAGAATCTTCTTCCTTGCCATCAGGTGTATTTTGCAGACCTAAGGGGTAAAGGGTTTTTTGCATTTTCATTGTTATGGCTAAATCTTGCAGTATTTTGTTTGTATATGGTTGTTTATATTTCTTCTTTTATCTCTTCCGTCTCTAAATCTGTTTCCTCTGCTTCGTCTTCTAGTTTCTGGTTTGTTTGTTCATACTTTGAAGTCATTGCCTGGGAGTTTCTAGTTGTAGATTTAATTTGGAGATTTGCTCACTTATATTATCTAAATTGTTTTTAGTCTCATTATGTTTTTTATGTCCTTTTTGTATGCAAAAATTATTTGGTAAATTAATTATAGCATAGAGTATATTTCCTTCTGAAAGGTGTTTGTTTTTTCTTGAGGCATCATTCCTGGAGATCTTCTAGTATCACCAGTCTCAGTAAGAGTAGATCAAAGTTTCATCTAGTTTTCTGATCTTTATGTGTAGCCTTTATAATCCCATAGGTTCCAGAGTATAGGTCCAGTCCTGAAAGCAATGTTTTATAGTGATCCTTTATCTCAGGTATCCCAAAAGTTGTCAGTCAGGCAAGGTTGTAACCCACAATGTTCAAAGTGTTCAAAATGTTCAACCTCTCTGAAAACAGCTCAAAAGTCTCTCCCAGGTGTAGTCCAAAGTTAAATTTTCCTTTTCTCCCACTAGCTCTTGAGATTAAAAATCCAAGGTCAGTAGGTGTTTATAGTCCAAGAAGGTCAGGTGATAAGTATGCCAAAATATTTTCCTTTATTGCCAGCTGTTCTCCCAGGCTAGGAGTCACCAAGCAGCCAGGAAGCAAGTTATA